GTCAGATTTCCCAATCTGATTATTTTTGGGCCCCACAGTTGTTGTGCCTCTCTGTCCTGTGCATTGCAGGATGTTTAGCAACATCCCTGGCCTCTTTCCACTAGATGCCAGCAACGCTCCCCAGTGTGACAACCCAGAATGTCTCCAGACATTGCCAAACGTTTCCTGGGTACAAAAGTGCCTCAGGTTAATAACCATTAACTAGACAAAGGACTTGGAACACATCAGCATTTCTGTACAAAAGGTATTTTAGAAATGTTCTTATCCTCTTTCAGGAGACAAGATACAGCATTCCTTTTGCTGCTTCTGTTACGTAAATATCGAAAACTAGAAGTTCAGAAAAGATGGTTCCAGGGAACCATCTGGCCAAATCTACTTGTGGTGAAAGGAAGAGTTGGGCCCATTTTCTGAACTAATTCAGAAACAAAACACAGAAACTGACTCTCCACACAGAGTTAACAGGGTACTTAGGGCAAATGTGTTTTTTGTGCCTCTGTTTTCCAGGGTAATTGCTTCCGTTTTCTTTTTGCCACATCTAGGGTTCTCTAAGATTTGCAATAGGAGAACAATCCTGGTATTCTTGAATTGGTTCCTTTGACTCAATAGCCACTGCCATAAATACTGTCTTAAAAATTAGGGTTCACAGAACTAAGAAACACAGAAAGCATGCGAGGGGACTCCCCTGGTGACACAGCGGTTAAGAATCCACCTGCCAATGCAGGGGACATGGGTTCGAACCCTGGTCCGGGAAGATCCCACATGCCGCGGAGCAACTAAGCCCATGCACCACAACTACTGAGCCTGTGCTCTAGAGCCTGTGAGCCACAACTACTGAGCCCACGAGCCACAACTACTGAGCCCGCGTGCCACAAATACTGAAACCTGGGCTCCTAGAGCCTGTGCTCCGCAACAAGAGAAGCCACCACAGTGAGAAGCCCACACACTGCAACGAAGAGTAGCCCCCGCTCGCTGCAACTAGAGAAAGCCCGCACGCAGCAATGAAGACACAACATAGCCAAAAATAAAGAAAGAAATAAAGCTATGAAAAAAGGAAAGAAAGCATGTGAAAGGATTGAGGATCTACCTGAGAGTATTCCATAAGACAAAATGAGGAAGATCCTTGCTTATTCCTATTGATACCACAGCACTTCAGAAAATGACCGATGTTGATCATATAGATGATGGTTGTGAAGAGGAAAAGGAATTAGATTCTGAACTGGCTCCTGCTTAGGAATTTTTTACAGTTGTAGTTATTATTCCCCCTTTACTGATATAGGACCAGGTTTAGGGAGATTAGATGCCCTAAGAGGGTCCTCCAACTGCACACCAGAGGTGCTAAATCCTCTAGAATTATAGTGGAAAGAACAAAGGCAATTGATTTTTTTCTAGTTCCATATTTTGATTGAGGAGATTGATATGTAAAATGGGTAAGGAGCAGAATTTATCACCATGATGATGAGGCCGGCTTTTGTGGGGAGTGAAGGTTTGAGAAAAACGCTGGAGAAAAGGAAGATGTGGTAGACATTGGGAAGCATATGAAACAAAACAAAAATAGAAGCCCAAAGAGAAATGGCAAGCTTTCTGAATGAAAGAGCTCAGCAGCCTGGAGAACAGGGGATCCCGATAAGCAAATGACTCAAGTGGAAAGGGAGAAAAGGATGCCTTTTCTCTGCAGTTCGTGGTGAATCCACGGGGGCATCAATTCCCAGTCGGGCCAGTCACCCACACAGTACTGCCTGGGGCTCCCGGCCTTTTCACATAAACTCCCTCAGCTCCTCACGCTGCCAGTGAGGTGGGGCAGAGAAGAGCCCATTTCAGAGATAAGGATAGGAGAGAGAGAGGAGGGGGCCTTGTTCAAGTTCACAAAGCCACTCAGAGGGAAGTCACACACCGGGTTTCTCATCCTCATTCCATCACACCACATGGCTGCCTGGGCTCAGCAGACTTTATGATAAGAAGGTCTTAGAACAATGATTGAGGATTGAATCAATTTCTCTAGAGAAGGAGGAAGCTAGAGGGGAAACACTAAATAAGAGGGGTGTATGGTTAAATGAGTCTTTTCTTTAAACTAATGGTAAATTATATGTTTCTCCATTCTATTGAAAATATGTTTTCCAAAGCTTAGCTGAACTGGGCTGCAATGGATGCCTGGAGCTGTGGAGGCGATGCCCCAAGAAATAGATGGTACCCTTAAAGAGGGGAGAGAGTAGCCTTCTTTGTTCTGGAGGGGCAGTCATCCCTAAATTCTTGGATGACAGAGAAAAAAGCTCCTGGGCTTTTATCTTTGCTGACCTGGGGATGCTGGCTCAGGGCAGAGTCATCATCTCTGGAGAACAGAGAGAGAATGCAGTAAGTAGGGCTTGGCCTCCTTGCACCTCTGGCTTGTGGACTACGTTTAATGCAGAGCAGAGCTGAGCCTGTTCTTGGAATGGATGAGCCCAAACGACTAAGCCGCTGGACGTTGTGACCATTCATCCAGCGGGTGGAAGTTTCCAGAGCTCAGGAGAAGATGGGCTAAGCAGGCAATACAATCAGGCACAGGAGAAGAAATCATTTTGTTTTTGCAACTTCAGTCTGCGTTGGGTAAAAACTCATTTAAGAGTAAAGAGAGAATTTCTTCATCTGATCTGGGCAACTGCTGGCTTGAATTTATGGCTGAATTCAACCACCTGGGCTCATTGAATGAGCCATTATTCAGTTTTCAGTGCAAGGAGGAAATAGAGGCCACCTCAAATTTTGATGAAATATTGAGGAAATTAAATAATTCTTTGGACAAAGATGCATAAGGGATGGAGGGAAGCAGAGATAAATGAACTCTCCTGGTCCTCCACAAAATGTATGATTCTATTTGTGTATAATATATCACTTTGGATTTAGGAACACAAATTGATTATATTTCAAAAGCAGCTAAGTAGAAACTTATTTGAATTTGAGCAATAGATAAAGCCAAAGAGAAGAGAATAGAAGATTTAAGTTGAAACATCCAAGAAAATAGCTTTAGGAGGCTGGGAGAAGGTTGGGGTTCCTGCGTTTTAGCAGCGTTGCATTGGGGCCTGATTGCATAGTCCATATATAATGCTTCAGGAACGTGGGTGCCGTTCCCAGGTGCTAACACTGTTGACCAACACAGAGAACCATCAACGTAGAGCATTTCTTCCAACATTATTACCTTTTCGTCCTTTGAGAAAAATTTGTTCAAGAAAATGTCATTGCTGTCATGTAGATGGGATGGCCCAGTTGGATGCAATGTCTTGTAAAAATGTGCTAATGTTATAGCACATGATAACATTGCATAATGAGAGGAGCTGGGGAAGGAAGGAGAGGGTCCTGCTAACTTTCATCTGTCAGAAAAATGAAGAGGACCATGGCTAGGCTTCAAGTTGGAGCACTGCCCCCCTGTACACATGCATATAAGGTCCAGGTGGACTTAAGCAGGGAGGACCCAGAAAGGCCTCCAAGGTTGGAGAGACTTAGGCCTGGCTCCCGTGGGGCATCCTCCGGAATTCTGGGCAAACTGCTGGTAGATTCAGGGCCCTACAGAGAGCACAGCATTGTCGAAGTGCACTGGACAAGAGTGTGGGCTCTTGAGTCAGATAAACCTGGGCTTGAACCCAAGCCCTGCCACTTCCTAGCTATGTGATTTTCGTCAAATTACTTCTCTAAAGCCTCTGTTTTCTTCATCTTTAAAATGGAGATAGGGACTTCCCCGGTGGTCCAGTGGTTAAGACTCTGCGCTTCCACTGCAGGGGGTATGGGTTCGATCCCGGTCGGGAACTAAGATCCCACCTGCCGCGCGGCCAAAAAAAATAATAATAATAAAGAAAGCATTGGTCTGCTAAGGTATATTATTTGGATAAAAGAATAACAACTAACATTGAGAAATGAAAGACTCTTCTAAAAAATAATAAAGTAAAATAGAGATAATAGTATATCAGTTCATAGGATTCCTGTGGGGATTAGTGGGATTATCTGTTTTTACACGCTATGGTGAACACTCAATAAGTGGTAGCAATTAGGGCTATTTTGTTTTTGAGCTCCTAGTCAAGCTTCATCATATGACAGAAATAGTGAGCGCAGCACTCATTAGCATGGCCTTCCAGTTAAAGTTGGGAGCTGCCAACAAACAGCCACCCAGGAACTCCTTGGAGGAAGTTAGTCAATGTCCCATCCCCATGATACAGTCCTGGACCCCCTTAACCTCCCAGCTCCAATACCCTACTTCATCCCAAACAACCTGGCAGACACAGTAACTGGTCCCATGTCATGACACGATGGGGATTTTTCTTTAAGAGTCTGAGTGAAACAGTTTGAAACCTTGTTATTTGGTTCCATAGCATTTGGTTATGCAGGTCTCATGCCCTCGTGGCTTCTCCGGTGTTCAAGACCTAAGAGTGGAGGCAGAGAGAGACGGCCACGGCTGAGAGGGCATGGGGGACACAGCAGGTCCCATGCCCCTTCCCTCGAGGCTGGGAGGAGCCCGGCTGCATTTACTGACACTTTGATCGCTCTGTAGGAGGCTTTGCCAATGCCTCGTGCTTTTAAAACCGTGGCAAGAAGTAAGCAGCAGAGTTGGCAGGAGAAAATGTTACAGCCTGAAAGGTGGGACGGATGAGAATCACCGGAGAAGGAGCAAGACGAGGGGGACGAGAAGAACAATAGGATGAGGGGATAAAGGGGGAAGAGAGAAAAATGAAGTCCGGGAGGTCGGAGGTCGGAAAGGAAATTGAAGGGAGGTGGAGCTTTCTGATGCTGATGAGGCTTAAGAATTAGGAAAGATAAGAGTTATAGAAAGTGGAGTGGGATGGTTAGAAAGCCTCAAACAAGGAATCAGCATTAGGAAGGGGCTTTTGAGGCATCGTATGATCCATCTGCCTGTCTTTATAACTGAAGAAAAGAAGAAAGGGAAAAAAAAAAAAGGGAAGAGAGAATCCTTTGTTTCTCTATCGGCAAAACTAGGGGATTGGACCATGATCTATAAAGCCCTTTGCAAAGCTAACAATCTATGAATTTATAAGGCGTATATATTTATATATTTAAGGTTCCTTATTTGGTTAAGATACCTCACTGTGGTCTGCGTAACTTCCATGAAAGTCACTTTGTAGTGGGTGGCGTGAACGTGTTTGATTTTCTCAGGTCTCAAAAAGTCAGGATCATAATGCCCTTCAAAGTTTTAAGTAGCTTATACGGTATGATCATTTAAAAAAAAAAATTGACCAGCCCCCAGGTATGTTCTGGAACTAATACTTGAACTTTTGGGAAAGTAAGAATCTAGGCTAGAGCCAGGTCCTAGAACTTTCTGGCCTTCCTTTGGGTGACTCCTCCGTTTGCTCGTGGTTAAACTCTATGATATCCGTTTCCTTGGTGTCCAGGTTTTCCATTAAATACAGCACATCAGGAGAGACTCGAGAACCAGCCACAATGTTGATTCCTCCGGTCTCTGAGGATGTTTCTGTGTCAGGTAAAGGAACTGGCTCAGGGCTCACGGGATCCGGACTTAGGCCTGCCAGGGAGGTGCGGCTGGACTCCACCAACCTCGGGAGGCTCCACCTTTCTGGGGACTTGTCACTCTCATGAGGGTCCTCCTCAGAGGCAAACTGGAGGAGGTTTCTCTCAGCTTTGGCTGGAACAGTCTGGGAACTGGGGTCCCTAGAAGGTGCCCCTTTCTCTGAGGGGAACGGGACTGACCCCACAGGGTCCTCCTGCTGTGCAGTCCTGCTCGGCTGAACGCCAGTGAAGTCAGAGCTCTGGAGAGAGGCAGTGGAGTCGTGGTGGTCATCCTCTGCCCTGGACACTGCCGCTTCGGCTGCTGTGACCAGTACCTCAGGGACCTGCGGCGTTTTGGTGGGGTAGCCCCTCACACTGGACGGTGGCGTCAGGCTGGCCTGTCGGATGGTGGGCAGCTCTCCCAGGCTGGCGTGCAGCTTGGGGCTCCCCTCTGGGGTGCAGGGGTGCTTCCAGGTGGCTGAGGCATGGTGGGGACTTCTCGAGGGCACGTGCGGCAGGTCCCTGGCTGGGCTGAGGTCACCCGGGGGTAAGAACGCGTCGCTGGCCTGTCTCCTGTAGCTTCTCCTCCTGGGGCTGGAGGTGCGTTCGTGGGTGCTCAGGAACCTCTTGACTCTTCCAATCATGGAGCGGCGATGGCCATGCTTCTCGTAATCCCACAGCCAGTCCTCGCCAGGCAGGTCAGACCCCGACAGCCTGAAACACACAAGGACAAAATGCAGGCAGAGCAGCTTCAGGGGCCTAACTTTGTGTTGGGGCCAGAGGCTCAAAGGTAAGGACTGAGTTTGGTATTTTCACATTACAGATTTTGAAAGGGATGAGGGAGGGGGACTTTAACTGGAGATAATCTAGCAGAGGTTCTCAAACTGTTGGGTCACTGGACCCTTTTAAACTTCTAAAAAATTACTGAGTACCCTGGCGAGATTTGTTTATGTGGTTATAGCTATTGCTATTTACTGTGTGAGAAATGATGACTGAGGAATATGAAAAAGCACAAGAATGTGCAAGCACTCATTCCATTAACTAAGTGATGACATCACTACATAGCCTCTGGAAAATTCTACCGTACCCTCACAAAAGGACAAGAGTGAAAAAGGCAGATAAGTTTCATGTTATTATGAAAATAGTTTTGACCTTAAGGACTTGGGTCTTGGGGTCTTGGTTCTTGGTGATTTCCAGAGGTCCCCAGCCCATATTTTGAGAATCACTGATCTAGAGACTTAGACGTTAAAAAAAAAAAAAGATATAGTATGTGTCCTTTCTCCCTTGTTACAGGTGAACTAAAGTCATGTTTTCCCAGGACCCATATAACCCCCCAAAACAATGGATCACAGCTAAATTCAAGACAGTCCAAACAACAGCTAACATTTACTGACTATGCACCTTCCATGTATTAATTCATTCAATTATCACAGTAATCGTGTATGTTAGTATCATTATTATTCACATTCTGCAGGTGAGGAAACTGAGGCCCTGAGAGATTCATTAAGGCTATGTAGCTAGTGAGGGCTAAACCCAGAAGTCTGGTTCCAGAGCCTTAGTTCTTAATCTCTTCTATATAAAGTCTGCTACGTAGGTGTCAAGAGATGAGGTAGAGCCCGGGGGCAAAATAATGTGTAAAATACAGTCCTTGCCCAGAGGTCATTTGCTGACATTCCTGGTCCATGCTTTGCACTTCTGTACTTGTGGGAAAGAGTACATCCATGAAGGTGGTGTGGACTCGCAATGCACTTGGGCTCCACGGGTGATTAAGTCTGATGGATTTGTTATTGCTAAGAATATCCTGCTGAATTTTTAACATTTGAGACATAAAACAAATAATCCTCCCATTTTTAATCTTCTCCTTCAAGGCTGAAATAAAAGGATAACTGAGAAAACAGTAAGGGATATTGGTTAGTAAGGCAGGCTACTGCCTCAGATTCTGTGGTTATTTGTCTCACATCTCTGTGGATATACAGTCTTAACGAAGTTCCAAGAAAAAATGCTTAAAGCCCTGCCCGTGATCAGGCCAGCCTAGTCCAGTGTTCGCACTGACATCCATGGTGACAAGATGCTTTAACCAGGTGCATTTTATGGGACATAAAGGGAAAACTTGGAACAGCATAATATTGGTGTAACCTGAAAGGGCAAAGTGAGCAGCTAAAGAAAACATTGTTCCTCCATGTTTATGAATAAAAGATGGATGATTGAGATGATTAACTGGCTAAATGTCCTGGGATAGCATTCGATTACAACCTTGTGCTGTTATTCTAAAGCCTCGGCAGTGCCCTTGGCTACCAGATAGCCTTCTGGCCCACCTTCCACTGTTCACGGCTCGGATTCTGTTACATTGACTTGAGAAACGCAGACTCATGCTTCAGCAGCCTTGGTGACGCTGCTTGTTGCATTTCATTAGGTCAGATCTCCAGTCACACTTCAGGAACCCATTTCGTTACGGAGGACACCAGAGCAGTTGGTCACTAAGATTGCTGTGCCGGATGTGCTCTGGGAATCCGAGGTGGAGCTGGCAGTGTCTCTTTATAGGACAGGCCTCTGTCCTCCATTTGGGATCTTCACTTTTTATTTGGGATTTGCCTTCCTTAATTACTCTTTAAGCCACACAACCTTGTGAGAATGACAAAATCTTCTAGGAAAAAAATGTTTGTATTATTGTTACTTCAAAACTTCGTGAACCCTAAGGAAAAAACTTTCTTACTATGCACCGATGTAGTGGATATGTGCACTCAACTGAGGCAAAGGATTAAGGCCTTGGGTCACACACTGGAGAAAAACAAACCAGTTGCAGAGAGCAAACAGGCCAGTGCTCTTGCTGATGTTCTACTGATTCACCCACCGACGTCGGGCAGGACTGCCCACGAGGTCCTATTGCACCTTCCTGCCTCTGAGACTGCCACGAGGTCCTATTGCACCTTCCTGTGGACGCGTGAGATTTATCCACATAGCCAGCTAAATGCATTGAGCATCTGCCATGAACACATTTGTTGCATTAAGTCCTGTATAACATAATTTAGAAGGAGGAAGAAGGCATGCATATAAATAGCTAACTTGGGGGCAAAGTAAGTTGTTGAGCTGGTCTTTGACACTGCAAAGGAAACAGATAAGCAGAGAAGGGACAGAATATTGCAGGTGGAAGAAGTGACTTGAGCAAATTAGACAGCAGGGAACTTCAGGTGTTTGTGAGGAATGGGAAATACTCGGATTAGCGTACAGGATAGTGTCAGGCATAAAACTGGTAGCCTTGGACTGCGTCATGAAGAGTCTTATATACCAGGTAGAGGGATTAGGGCTTTCCCCCAGAGGCAGTGGGCAGCTGTGGGCTGTCTTTGCGAGTGGAGGGCATAACTAGAATTGTGTCGTTTGGTAGTCGTGTCCAAGTGGGAAAAGCTACATGGAAAGCAACACTGTTGAATGTTCTCATCCAGAAATGCTTTGGATAAGAAACATTCTTTTCTTATCCAAAGAAACTTCTTTCTTTTTTTTGGGAACTTTTGGGAACTTTGGGAACTTTTTGGGAACTTTTGGGAACTTACTTTCTTTCTTTTTTTTTAATAAATAAATAAATAAATTTATTTATTAAAAAAAACAAGAAAACGGGGAAAGGCAAAGGAGAGAATCAAGAGACAAGAGACAGGTCTTGGCAGGATGAACATTTTTAAAGGGTTATTAAGAAATAAAGCAAATAAAATGAATATTGATAGGAATGAAACAAAGAGGAAAACGAAAAGAGAGAAGGACTTCCCTGGCGGTCCAGTGGCCAAGACTCTGCTGTTCCACTGCAGGGGGCATGGGCTCAATCCTTGGTCGGGATCCCGCATCCCACATCCCGCATGACGTGTGGCACGGCCAAAAAACAAAAAACAAAAAAAATCAGGGGGCTAGCAACCTGGGGAGAAGGCAGACGTGAGTCCCAGAACCAGCTCTGGAGATTCTGCTTGGCCATGAAAGTTTTTAAAGGGGAAAAAGAGGAGATAATCTCAATGGCTTGGGAACTTTCCACACCATTAGTCAGAAAGACCCATTAGTGGGTCTTTGGAAGAACACTTGGTGGTCTGTGATCTGAGGGGGGCAGTTTTATGAATCTCATGCTGGAGTGATGAAGGAAGTCCTCCAGCTCTTCACGCTATCAAAGTGCAGAAGTGAAACTCCCCAGCGTGACAGACCTAATGACCTTTCTTCCAAATGTTTCTGTGATGGAGGTTTCATTGCCAACACACAAGACCCATCTCCTTTCTCTGGTTCCCAATATGACAGCAGAAACTGAGGTTTGAGGACAAAATGGTTTAAGGCTGAAAACATGCAGAATAGAATACATTAAAGATTATTTATTTCCCAGTTGAAAGGATGTAACTTTTAGGTCCTTTGAGACTTTCTGCGCCTCCTTATTTGATTTTTATTTTATTATATTTTAAAGGGAACTTTATTATTTTTATTTATTTATTTTTGGCTGCGTTGGGTCTTCGTTGCTGCACGTGGGCTTCTCTAGTTGCAGCAAGCAGGGGTTACTCTTTGTTGCGGTGCGCGGGCTTCTCATTGCAGTGGCTTCTCTTGTTGAGGAGCACCGGCTCTAGGCGCGCGGGCTTTAGTAGTTGTGGCACAAGGGCTCAGTAGTTGTGGTGCACAGGCTTAGTTGCTCCATGGCATGTGGGATCTTCCAGGGCCAGGGATTGAACCCGTGTCCCCTGCATTGGCAGGTGGATTCTTAACCACTGCGCCACCAGGGAAGCCCCTTATTTGATTTTTAAAGACCTTTAGTATAGGATTAGTACAATCCTGAGGCCCAAATATAACACCACTTAAAATGCCCCAAAACAATTATAGCAGAAACATTGTATGATAGAATGTAAGCACCCTCATTATATTGCTATATTTTAGAGAAGATCAGCTGAAAAACCTAGGTCTGATGTTCTGGAATTCACTCAGACTGAGATAGGCAGGTAATTAGAGACCGGAGGACGTACATGGAAAGTGCCATGCAGCCATTAGTGTCCAGCAGGTGGAATTTGAGAATTGCCTCTGTGGTGAGGAGAATGATTTATTTCGGGGGCTTGCAGAGCCAGGTTTACCGCTGCCTAGGCTGACCCCAGCTGTATGACCTTCGGAGAGTCACTTAACCTCCCTGTGGCTTAGCATCATACTTGAGTACAACAATACTTACTTTACCTGCTTTGCAAGGGCGTTTGGAAGTTCAAAAGGAATAATATACGTGGAAAAGCTTTGAAAAGTAGACGATATAAAAAGGACTCTGTCAATGACTGGCACACTTTCAGAGATGGTTTCCAAATCATCATCGACTACGCATGGTTAGAGGAAATAATAGTGTCTGTCCGAAGGTCACTCCCTTTTCTCCTTCAAGCATGTCCTTTAAAAATGCTGCTACACCTCGAAGCTGCCACCTAACAATTAACATGTTGGAAGGGATGACTACAACAGTTGTTTATTGATGAGACTAGGGTACTTAGTAGATGGAGGGGAAATATAAGGATGGGAGGAAGCTGGGTTTTTTGAGAGAAAGAAGATAAGGCCAGTCAGGTGGTGGGACTGCCCTGACTTGCCTCCCAATATTGTCTTTTGTGCGATTTGCAGACATTGTCAAATCCTTCAGTAAACGTTATGGCACAATATACATCATCAATGCAGAAAAAGTGAGAATGAGAAAGGTTGTGGCACGTATTGGGCTATTTCTGAAAGGGAGGAGA